ATCTTAACTGTAACATTTAACTTTATAATGTTCCTAAATACTTTCTATAGGTAATATCTTTTTTAATTTAATATGTTAAATTCATTGATTTGTAAGAGTTTACATTATATCTTGGGATGCAATATTAAGATTTAGCTGCTATGCTGAAAACATAAAAATTGTATATAAATTGAAGTTCTTTTTTCTTTGATTTCTTATCCAAGAATTTTGATCAAAATAAACTAGATGTTAATGCTATATACACTCTGTATTTTTATATATACAGTTGTATATAATTATTGTTTTATGCTCTACCATGAAAATGGCTGGGGCATATAGTGTGTGTTGTGTTTGTCTTCCATGCCTCTCTCCACCCAAGACACGTTGCATTTAGCTCGGTTTCAAAGAAATATATTGAACAAATGTCAAACCTTTGAAAATCTTCTTCTAGAAGACAAAATGTTTTGCATGATTACAATGCGTACTTAACCCTTCACCAAAACTGTGAAATTCCTGGCTCCAGGGTCATAGAGTATTTCACCCCTTACCAGATTTGTGACGTTAATGTCCCCTGGGGCCAGTGTTCATGCCTCAGAGTGGGACTAAGTTGGTTTTACATAGAAAATACATTACACCTTTGCAGTCAGTAATGCAACATAAAAAGAAATGTATCTTGCATCTTTGTTTAAGATTAATAGGGTAAATGAGGAATAGTAAGGTTAAAAACACAGGAAAGGTTATGTTAAATAAAAATAGGACACCAATTCCAGATTACACCAATTTCTTTTAGTGTATGAAGTTTGATGAAAATATCTTGAATATTGTTTTTCTGAAACTGAGTTCTAAACATAACAAATAGTAAAGTCAAAGCTAATAGGAAAGCTTGAGGTTAAAAAGAAATGGATCCAGTTGATAAGTTCTGCCAATATGTATATGTGATTTGATGAAATATCTTGAATAGTTTCTTTGAAATTAAGCTTTCAGCAATTTAAGTAAAGTCAAGGTCATAGAAAGGTCAAGGTAAAAAAAAGATGCATTTGAATAGCTCTTATCATTATGTATCAGAATATGAAGATTGATACAATAATCCTGAATAGTTTCTTTGAAACTTAGCTAAACAGAAATTAATGAAAAGTGAAGACAAGGTCAAAGAAAAGGACAAGGTCTGAAAACATTGATGCAGATAAAAAGCTGATTAGCTCTCATCATTATGTATCAGGATATGAAGTTGAATACAAATATCTAATAAGTGTCTTTGAATTATAAATACAAATTAAAGAAAAGTGAAGTCAAAGGAAAAGGTCAAGGTCTAAACATTTGCATGCAGATGAATAGCTCTCATCAATATGTACAATGTATCAGTATATAAGGTTTGATATCTTGAATAGTTTCATTGAAACTGAACTAAATATAAATCTAAGAAAAGTTTGTTTGTTTATTGTTTAACGTCCCTCTCGAGAATTTTTCACTCATATGGAGACGCCACCACTTGCGGTTGAGGGCTGCAAATTTATACCTTTACTCGGCACTCAGGGCCATTGTTCATGTGAGAGATCTTTTTCGTGCCAACAACTACTGCGACACGGGACCTCGGTTTATACGGTCTCATCCAAAGGACTGGTCTCCACGTCCCGCAGTGGATTCGAACCCGCGACGTAAGGATCAGCTCTGTACTTCGCAATTCTAGAGCAGACGCTCTAACCACTGCGCCACGCGGACAACTCTTAGAAAAGTAAAAAGAAACCAATGAAAAGTTCAAGGTCTCAAAATGTTGATGCAATTGAATAGCTCTCATTAATATGTATTAGCATCAAGGTTTGATAAAAAAATTTATCTAGGATAATTACTTTGAAACTGAGCTAAACAAAAATTTAAGAAAAGTGAGGTCAAGATCAAAGGAAAGGTAAAGGTCTAGAAATGCTGATGTAGTTAAATAGCTCTTATTAATATGTATCAGCATATAAAGTTTAGTTTGATAAAATATCTTGATAGTTTCTTTGAGACTGAGCTAAATGCAAAGTGCTTCGGAAGAAAAGATGAAAGGACGGAAGAAAGACATGACAAACACTATATGCCCTAGCCATATTCATGGCTAGGCATAAAAATAAGATTAGAAATACGCTTTTTAAACCCTTAATATACTTGTTTTTTTCAAACTCGTTTTTATCTAAAGGAAGGCGGGTTGTTGGTGCTTGGTACATATATACTTTCTTCGAGAATGGGATGTCTTCTGTACTAATAGAAAGTATGCTGATAACATATAAGATTTTTGATTGAATAAACAATGCTCTGTCACATTTAAGCTGAACACGACTCGAATAGGAATACGCGATATTACTATCTAGGATATCAGCACCAGGGTATACTCTTCGCATTTGTTACACCTGACTGCTTTATTGTCACGGGTATCGGCGTGGAATGGCGACCGTGTTCGTGCTGGTTATCTTGCATTACCTTTGTTTACATTTCATTGCAGTTACGTGTATTTGCAAGTGTTTGTTTGTATACTGCACTGACTTGTGCAACTGTTGTAAGTTTCTTTACTTTGGTTTCTTTCTCTTCTGAATTAGAATAGGTACAGTGCAGGAAACTAATTTTGTTACAGCATCAATGCTGATTTGAATGCTTCCTTTGCTTGCTGATTTGAATGCTTCCTTTGCTTGCTGATTTAATGCTAGTTATCCTTATCCTGATGCTGTTTTATAATTAGGTCAATGCATGCTACCGGAAGTAGCATCATGCTACCGGAAGTAGATAATGAATTTCAGCATTGCCGTTTAAAGCAATAAAAGTGCCTTTTACTACTATTTGATCATAATATCTCACTATGTATCAATAATGTGAATACTTTAACCAATATTCTTTCTTTCTTTTTTAATTTTTTACTGAATTAAAACTCATTGATTTTCTGATGCTAGTAGGATAATGCTGATTTTATGTAGGTCAATGCTGGTTTTATCCTTTGCTTGCTGATGCTGATCCTGGTAATGCTGTTTTTTAAATGCTGATCCTGATGCTAGTTCGATCCTGATGCTACTAATGCTGATGCTGGTTTATGTAACAAAATTAGTTCCCTGCACTGTACACAGTTATTTTTTGTAGCTATCGAGTGCTGTATAGCATACGTCCTTCTACACCGGTGACGATTGATTACACTGAACCATGTGAACAGTGACCATATACACCCCTACTATAGTGTTCGGAACATTTTATTTTTCGGTGTTCTACAAATTATAAAATCCGAGGAGTTCCCAGTAGTCCTCACAGTAGCTCTGGCGAGATCTAGCGAGATCACAACGAGATAAGGTAAATTATTCACGGAAATGTGGCTAGGAAGTGACTAGCACGTGGAGACATGGTAAACAGAAAAGTTATCTTGCGTTTCATTTTTCACTACTGAATAATATCTGTAGAAATGTACGTCAATCTCCCTTGAATTCATTCAAACTCAATACGTTTTCTTCATGACATTGTTTTCTGCACTTATGTATTTAAATTTCATTTTGGACAAACATACTTGCATGCATGTGAACTTGGACTATATTTTTTGGCGTTAGATTAGCAAATGGGGTACCAATATAGCTTAATCTGAATGAGTTGAATTGCATTGGGGGTTACTACAGATACTACAGGAATTTTACGCTTGAAGAAGAAAAAAAAACAAGGCGATCGGAAAGGCACATAGAACATTTTTTCTATGCATTTCCATGCTGTCCATTTTTATTCTATTATTTCCGTGCTCACAATTGCAAACAGTTCATTTGTAACATGTTAAATAAACGTGGAATTCTAGGATTATTAAAGTCATACTGTAGGGCGATTTTCGTCAGCATTCCTTTGTTGTATTATATGTGAATACAATTGTCAGGTGGGTTCCCTGACCAAAAAGCACAGATGATCACAGGTATTGTAATATGGAAAAAAAAAATTGTTGTCCATTTACTAGTACCTGTTTAAATGCCTAAGGGATACTGTTCGTCTTCCTTAACCTTGAAGCTCTAGTGTTCTGAACGTGGCACAAACTACATTTTTTAATATGCATTTTCTAGTTAACAACGTAATAACAAATAACAAACGCCCGTGGCATCTTTCATAGTTTCTACTCTTTGTATTTTTTCATATAAACAGGTTTTTTTTTTTTTTTTTTTCATTTTTTTTTTTCATTTTTTTTTTTTTTTTGCAATCCATGTAATATCGATCGTGTTCGAAGAAAAATGTAAACACATAGGTGTCAAGTTAATGTTGCTATTCATTCAATGATTACTAGTAGTCAATTGTTGGTGGTAAGATCCTCTGTGCGCATAAATAACAAAAGCCATATGAGGTAAACAAAGGTTTGTCATATACATTTTTTTTCTACCAGCGTATCGGGCGATTTTGGAAAAACTACTAAGCTCCAATTTTCGCCGTAAATTATCACAAAAGCAAAGATAAATTCAGTAGATTGTGATTTTTTATATCCCACTCATTTCTGTTTAAAATCTTGAATATCAGAAAGTTTTTAAAAGAAACAGATTATAGCAATTTCCTGTTTGCTGCCAATTTTATTTTTAAAACCGGTTCTACCCTATAACCATTAAATGGGTCAACCTACACCACGTGTCTTGAATTTAAATCACAATAACATTAGTAGGGGTGATATAGGGGCTCTCAGATGTAACATTATTCCTTTTACGAATCGTGTTCAGCTTTAATTTCATCAAAACGCATTATGGACTGCTAAACGATTTTATTTGATTTGCTTACTATTCACAAAATTACAAGCGGCTACAAACCACGAGATATACATGTATTACAATATTCATCAGGTTTAAATGAGATCACCCACCGATTGCATGTTTTCAAAATATTTATAAATATAAGAACAATATATGATTATGGTTATGTTGTGATGAGTATAAGTCTGATTGATAACAAAATATGAGAACTCTTTACACATGTATCAGACTAAAATGTATTTCTCATGATGAACTTACTTTCTGTGAGGAATGAATTCAATCAGAATTTATACATGTTATATTTTACAATCTATACTGAAACACTTTGACAAGTCCTTCCCGGTATCCTACCCACAGTGTAGACTTGTATAGGGATAATCTGCATGGATGGTTCACTTCATTCCCTGTCAGTAAGAACTTTAACAACTCCTTGTCAGGACTCAGCAGATGGATCTGGTTGTTAGGTGGGTCAGTAACAAGGATGTTACAGAGGGAGTCACACACTACATCAGTTGGCTTAAAGTTTTCTTTCAGGTTCTGTCCACGGTAGACAGACTTCATACGACCAGAGGGAGACATAATCACTAGTTCACCTGTAGTGTCACTTGTAAGGTTCACAACACAGATATCACTGTTACTGTTCTGTGTGACTCTGTGTGGCACTGTAAACAGTCTGGTCTGACCGTCCTCCTGGTACTCATACTCATGGATGACATCACCTGTCACTTTGATGTGTCTCACCAAACTTCTGCTGTGTGACTCTAATTCATAACAATCTGATTCATTGTCTCTCAAGGTAACCAGTAGTCCACCATCCAATGAATGACAGATTCCTATTGGTGCCAGTGGATCTGTACTGATGACTGTAGAGACAGATCCTGATGGTGACAGACACCTGATGGACTTGTTACCCAAGTCAGTGAAATAAACATCACCAGTATCAGTCATACACATGTCATATGGAATGATACTAAATTCATGTTCCCTTTCTCCTTCCTTGTTAACTTTTTCTGTATATAGTGATTTATATTCTCTTATGTAACATTGGTCTTCATCGTATGCCTTCAACACATATATTGGTTTATCTCTATATTGAAATGAGTTTATTTGAGTCACTTCATTATTCCCTAAATCGAAAGTTTTTCCAACCAAAGACTCAAGTAAGTCATCATTGATATCACCTCTATTGAACCTTGCTGAATGTTCACAGTTTGTCATATGAACCTTCATCTTAGACAGCATTTTTGTCAGTTCTCTGTGGTTGTCAATCAAGCTGTAATCTGACATGGTGCTGTTGTTCTCCTCCATGAATTCCACTGTCTCAACAATTCCTCTCTTCTTTTTGTCTAACTCAGATTTCACATGGTTCAGTTGATCTTTCTTTTTAACTAAACTGTCTCTCAGTGTTTGTTCATGACGTTTTTTGATGTCTGTCAGCCTGGCTATTATCTCATCGTAATGCATCCGTAGCTTTTTAATCTCAGAGTCACACAGTTCTATATTTTCTGTAATCTGTTGTGGAATCTTCTCTATCTTCTCATCAATCCTAGGCAGATCCTCTTCCTTGATCTTCTTCAGAAAATTAACTAGACATCTTCTCCTTTGGGTGGCTGCCGTGGGTAAAGTTTTCGGATCGTGCTCTCTATGACCTGTTATGGCACACTCAACACAAATGAATTCATCACAGTCCTCACATATCATATCAATAGTTTTTCCATGGATTTCACACATTTTAATTTGCTCTTGTGGCGAGCCCAATGGATATTTTTTGGTTGTATTGGCAGCCATGTTTGTCGGGTGTCGCCTACCAATGATCTAGTTTATTATGAGCTTGTTAGATAACCACGAAGACCGCGAAGTCGGACTTTAAATCTATTTAATATGATAGCTAGGTGTGCAATTAAGTTTAAATCATACATATGTAGACTATGACATTAATATAATAGAATTATTTATATATAGATAATCACAAAGATTGTGAAGTCGATTTTTATACATATGTAGTGTCTATTTATTGACGGGTAGGGCGAGGCGAAGCCGAGCCAGGTATGGAATTTACTAACCAGGTATCATCCCGTACCCTGTCACTACAAAACTATGTAACGAATTTACCCCACCGATAAAATATTTATGCATTGTCTGTGGTTTGTAAAATTGTTTTTCTCACTATATGTATGTTTCATCACTCATACAATGCCTATTATGACGTCACGTTGTGTGACGTAATGTTGTTTTGCGAGTGTTTCGTGCTGTAATAACGTACTGACAGTTTTGAAGACTTTCAGTAAAGGGAGAAAAAGGTTCCATCTTCGTTACTTACATTAGTTAACTGTAACATTGTCAACAGACACTCGGCAAATCGTGTGAACTCGAGTTGTTCGAACGTTACAAAAGAACGATAACTCCGTATCGACCATGTATTGATTTTCAAGCGACTAGGTATAAGTAATACACCCCCTTCACGTGACAGACTTCAACCAATCGTAAGCCAGGATTTCATCGAAAAATCAACAGAGGTGGGGTAAACAATGAAACGTACGTAAAGCATACAGCTGAGGTTGACACCATTAAAATGATATATATATATGTATATTTGAATGGATTTTTTTTTTGGTATATGTATAATAATTATACATAATATACCGTATCTATCGATTGTACAGAGCGATAAAAATATGGAATTGATGGAAAATTGCATATTTTCTAGAGAATACACACTCGGTAATTAAACGTTTGTTATTAGACGTAGGGGGTGCAGAGATGTACATTATCCACGCTCCAGGTGCCTGTGTCTAAAATGACATTCTCCATTTGAAATATTTTTAAGATAGATAAACTCGACATAAAACAATCTATAATTTGAAAAACATGTGGAAATGATTCCAAATAAATACTACCTTTAAAAAAGAAATCCTTACATATCCGGTTTTCTTTGAAAATTGTGACCTCTGTTAGTGGCTGTTCCATCACCAAATACTTACTAAATTAAAAATACCGAAGAGCCCGTTAAAACAGAAACAGGGATCGACATCCCAACACCATTTACAGTATTAAGGATGCATTAGACATTGAATGTTTGGTCAATATGAACCCCACGTTTCTTACTTCCCCTCTCAGTGCCACGGATAATCCGTTAATACTCGGTCAAGTCATGAAATGATGCACTGCACAGAATGATATTATTTGCAGAGAAACCATAAACTTTATAGCGCTTTGTATGGAAGAAAATGTTTGTTTTAATTCTTGAATTAAAGAAGAACAGTAACTTTTTACTGAAGATGCTCAACACCTTGGACCTGCGAGGATGCTCTTATACGTAAATCAATTAAACCTCAAAAAGTTTTTTTAATATCAAAATATGACTTTAGGCCAGTAGACAACGCTCTAGGCGGATTTAACAATAGAAAAATTTAATAATATTCCATATCTTGAAAAAAAATGCCAAGATTTAAGGTTTAATTGCATAAACATCGCATGACAAAAGACAAATAAAATGTAAGCTATGTAATTAGTTTAATTTTTAAAATGTTCATCCAATGATTGTTGTATCGTAAAGCCTGAAATATAAGAATAAGATATATAGAGGATATTCAATGTTTTGCAGATGAATATGAAATTTATTTCACGAGTGTGACAGGATTTTTTGATATTTTCACGAGTGCGAAGCACGAGTGAAAATATCAAAAAATCCTGTCTCACGACTGAAATAAATTCCATATTCATCTACAAAACATTGATATTTTTCTGTTTATTACATTTTCTTTGATGTTCCCTTTGTCTTTTCGTAACACGGTGTCATAGGCTGTGACGTCATAGTTGAGCGGTTGAACATGGATTTTTAACAACATATTTGGAGAAACTTTGGCAGTTTTAGTCTCTGTCAAGATGGTTCATTTACTCTATCTTATAACAGGCCAGGAAGTTTTTTTAAACACTATTAGTGATGGGCATGGCTGTATGAACCCGGGGGGGGGGGGGGGGCTTGCTTAGTACGGGCATGATTTGGGATTGGAAATCGAGAGTTTTGTCGCACTTCTGATTTTCTTACACTGTGAGAATACCATTTTGATATCCTTTCACACTGTGTCAGAATATCAGTTTTATTCAGTAGATAAATTTACAGTATTTCACTGTTGAAAATGTAAGAAAAGCATAATTATATATCATGATATTAAGTCCTATAACTGTTAGTCATGTTAGTTAAGCTGTACAGAAATTCGGAACGCATCGAATTGTTTATTTCGAGCTCGAAATTAAAGCATTCATAATTGAATGTAATTTTTTCTATATTTCTTGTAATGTATTTCAATTACAGTCCCATAATACAAAGGAATTTAAAACCAGGACAAAGATTTACTTTTGTAAATGCTTTAATATATTCAACAATGATTTTTAAACAATTAAACTAAAGAATCTAGTTAATTTCAATTGCAATTTCAAACAATTTTTTCATGACGTAAACAAGGCGAAAAACTCAATCAAGATTTCTGGCTGCATTCTAAGTATCTATTGCAAAATAAGACTCAGGTTACCACAGTTTTTGTCTTGGTAAGAAATCTATAAAATAGCTCCTCATTCCGATTTATAGGAATCTTAATAATTCTTTCATTGCAAATCAAGAGACTCAGCTATTAATGACCGTAAGATCCTAAGGATGATATTCGACTGAAAAATCCCAACAATAAAGTCGACATATTTTAACAATGAATTTAATATAGAGCGCTTTGATTAATATGAAAACTGACTCACGGTTTCTCACAAATAAAGTTTTTGCGATTCTCGCATTCGTCATCGTTCCACAACCAATTAGTTCCGGCCTCCAGCTCCATACAGTGTTCGTCCAAATGACCACCATTGTTCGGCTGACCGGGGGCCCAGTGGGAGAACCCCTGGGATCCGATCACGCTTCCGGTCTTGGTCCATGTCCACTCCCCCTCCTGTAGGAGGTCACTACCCCCGACCCAGAACCGGGGATGGTCATATTTTGCTGAATAGAATTAGATAAGGAGAAAACATTTCATGGGCTAATCGTTATCTACCTATTGGGATAGACTGCACAAATGGATACTAGGATGATCATGATACATACGAATATTATCTTCTTCTTTTTTTGTTTGCTTTTGGTGGTTTTATTTTTTTTTAATTTATTTTTTTCTGGCAAAAATATGCCCGAGTCGAATTTTTTTTTAGTTGGTACATGTGTATCTCCCTCCCCCTTTCCACTCTTGCATCCACTAATGAAAGTCGTAAACTTTTGACAAATTATGTGATTTAAAAATGTAAATGTCATTACATCCTTGATTTTGTAGATATCCTCGCAGGAAGTTGTCCTCAACCTGGCTTTCTATGGAAACCAATTCAGCTTGAATAGCATGACAGTAAATCTGCAAACGGAATGACTTTTGTTTTATTTTTAACAACTTACCGAAAGTGTGAATGTATAAAAGGCATAATTTCAACTGCAATTTATATCGATAAGTTGCATCAAAAATAGACAATGTGTGTAGCGACATATTTTATTGCACTGTATGTGTCATCTTCGCTAGCCGAGGGTTTCCGATCCGAAATTTACTCTAGATTTCGGATCGGAAACCCTTGGCTAGCGAAGACGTATATGTGTTGTCTCTACAATAAATATAATATACGACTAATCGGTGACAAACTTGTGACTTGATTTTGGTGCCGAAAAAAAAAATCATCTTTGATGGAGAGTGGTTGGAGTTGCAAACTATATTTACACTGGCTTGAGCCCACGTCGCTAAGACACGGTTGATGACGTAACAGGACTCGTCATGTCTTGTGAAACCATTTGGACAGTCTGCAACCACTATAAAAAGAAATACAGACACAATTATTTATACCAGGTGAAAGGAGCTATAATGTTTTGCGACTAAATTTTGTTCTGTAAAATATCCCTCAGTTCAAGCGAAGAAAAACTTGCATTGTTGCTAATAATTTTTAAAAAGAAATATTATTTATAATTTGAATTCTAAACAGAAATGGTCGGTAACTTGACAATTTTTTTTTTATATATATAAAGGAATATTTGTTTATACCAGTAAGAGTTACCCCTCTTACCCGAGAGTCTATGAACCTTAAGAGATATGAACTTTAACATTTGATATTCTTCCCATTCTCATTCTAAATGAAATGCATTTTTTGTAAATGAGCGTCACGCACGATTATAATTAAACTCATGATCAAGAAGTAAAATTTCATCGACTTCAGTCGAAAGAGCCTTGTACAAACCTGTTAAAAGGCTTTAAGCAATGACCTAAAATTACTCCCACTTAAAAATGTTCAGTCCAAAACACGCATTACTCATTGGGTGAACAAATAAATCGTTTCTCCGTGTCTATTTATTTTGTTTTTAATCATGCATGATCGACAAGAGAAAAAAAAATTCCGATGTATGGAAAATATTTTTTATTCATTTCACATTTTTCAGATGTGAAAAAGAAATATTAAGTATTGATCCATTTAATGATTTAAAAGCAAACAACATTTATAAGACATATTTCAAAAAATAATAATGAAAATATATTTTACTTTTTTGCGCTACTGTTAAATCTACACCTACTATGACCCCCCCACCCCCCACCCCCACCCCCCTTTAACAAGAAAGTTGTTTTTGTTTTTAAATAAAAGCGCTCGCAGACTGTTCCTTATATCCACTGATAATTTAATCTCCTATTAATGTAGGCAAGCGAAGAAATGTTGTTAAAATAGGCTCCTTTGATTTCTTACATATACCTATATAGAAGGATAGCAGTACAGATAAACAGACC